AAGACTTCTTAAACTCTATGAGTTTCTTATACTTCTTTAAGAATAGAGACAATTTCACATAACTTACAGTTTGGAAAGCAGGATGAACTTCATATACATAAATATTTGTGTATTTATGTTTATTTCCCTAAGAAAAACACCGGAGAGCAAAGGAATGAGAATTGATATTACATCTTTCCTAATGTAGCTTGATATCTCTATCTCTGTCTCTGCCTTTATTACTGATATACAGTGGTTACTCAATATTCTATCAGCACCATGCTAATTCTTAGCTACATTTTACTCATGAATACTGTATGCTGCCCCATATAATTTAGTTTCGTTTCTATTTATATTGGCTTGGGAAAACAAGAAAACTCTGGTCATAAATGCCTTTTAGATATCTAGAAACTCTTATTACTAAGTTTCTCATTAACATACCCTTTTCTACACAACAAATACATTATGTTTTCTTCTATTAATAGAGTTACTTCCCAAATCTTTAATTACTTGTATTTATTTTTCATTGTTCAGTTGCTTGATTCCAAACAAATCTCAGATCTTATAGTCTTATAAAGGCTTTACCAAATATAAGTATAAAGATAAGTAGTGAGAAAACTTCCTAAGTTCTTAATATTGTGTCAGGAACATTGAAGGAGTTTAAAATATTTGTCCCCTTCTTCCTACTTGCAAATCTAAATACCAACTTCCTTAAATGTTTGACTATTACTCTGTACTGGATCAGCTAATCAAATAAAGGGATAGAGACAGTTAAGAACTTGAAAACAAAGTATGCAGGATAGGCGTCTGCTCCAAAACTAACAGCCTTTGTGACCTGTGTGAGTTACCTAACCGGGGTAAGGATGTCTTAGCTTCCATAACTAAGAACTGTCACAATCCAAAAAGCTAGTCCTTATAAAGTCATTGGCTAGAATTATTTTTACACTTAAATTATTCCCTTTTTAAATGTTTACATCTCTCTTTCAGGTATTTAAAGATCCTTTCTTTTCCTTTTTTTTTTTTTTTTTTTTTTGAGACAGAGTCTGGTTCTGTTGCCCAGGCTGGTGTGTAGTGGTGGGGATCTCAGCTCAAGGCAACCTCCGCCTCCTAGGTTCAAGCAAATCTCCTGCCTTAGCCTCCTGACCAGCTTGGATTACAGGTGCACACCACCACACTCGGCTAATTTTTGTATTTTTAGTGGAGACAGAGTTTCATCGTGTTGACCAGGCTGGTCTCGATCTCCTGACCTCAAGTGATCTGCCTGCCTCAGCCTCCCAAAGTGCTAAGTTTAGAGGCGTAAGCCACTGTGCCTGACCTAAAGATCACTTTTCTACTTAGGTACTTTTACCTAAACAGTAAGCATTAGCTATGATCATTTATCTAGTCTTTCCCCAATCGTTTTCAGGAAAGTTGAATCTGGACTTCTGTACAGAATTATTCAATGTCTCTAATGCAGTTCAAGAACACTTTATGTAAAGCGAGATCTATCCTTTGAAAATGTGTTTTACTCTTTTATGAAATAAGTAGCAACATGATTAATTCAGTACCCACATTAGACATTTGTGATATTATGAGTGGAAGTCAGCTTTTATGTTTTCCATTTTTGTTAATGAATAGGTTTATAATAGCAATGAACTTGAAATTAATACCTCAAGAGAATACATACCTTCAAAGTATTTTGAAATATCTACACGCTTATGGTTAGTGTAATAAATGTAAGAACATTTTGTCCATGAAAATTATTCCTGTAAAAATCTCTAACAATTTGCTTGTAATTAATGAAGTTACTATATTGGAAGCAATAAAAATAGAATTTATCAGATTTTCTAATTTATTTTTTCAGTAAGTTTTACATGTGTTTTCTTTTTTAAATATATTATCAAGAATATTTATGTATTTATTTTTATTGTTTAAATTGTAGGGTACATGTGCACAACGTGCAGGTTTGTTACATATGTATGCATGTGCCATTTTGGTGTGCTGCACCTATTAACTCATCATTTACATTAGGTTTATCTCCTAATGCTATCCCTCTCCTCTCCCCAGATGGAGTCTCACTCTGTCACCCAGGCTGGACTGCAGTGGCACAATCTGGGCTCACTGCAAGCTCTGCCTCCTGGGTTCATGCCATTCTCCTGCCTCAGCCTCTTGAGTAGCTGGGACTATCGGCGCCCGCCACAATGCCTAGCTAATTTTTCTGTATTTTTAGTAGAGACAGGATTTCACCATGTTAGTCAGGATGGTCTCGATCTCCTGATCCCATGATCCGCTCGCCTTGGCCTCCCAAAGTCCTAGGATTACAGGTGTGAGCCACCGCACCTGGCCCATGTGTTTTCTTTAAATAAGTTCACTTGGATAGACACATCCAGACCAAGAAAAAACATATAATTTTGTAGTTTATATTCAATAAGCATCATGTGCATTATTAGTTTATTGATCAACTTTGTCAAAATTTTGACATCCCACTTTGGTAACCATGTAGCATTCACCTGAAAGCACACATTAAGGGAACACACCAAAGTTTGGTCTTAAATTATCAAAAGTAGCAAAATCATATAAGCTCTCCAAAACCATTGATTCCTGCTTTTGGGACTACTGATGTTCATTATCCCACTTCATTGAAAATTATTACAGTCCAAGAATAGATATGAAAACAAAGTTATCTTGATAAATTTACAAGAAAAACCCCATCAAAAAATGGGCAAGGGATATGAACAGACACTTCTCAAAAGAAGACGTTTATGTACCAACAGACGTATGAAAAAATACTTATCATCACTGGTCATTAGAGAAATGCAAATCAAAACCACAATGAGATAACATCTCACACCAGTTAGAATGACAATCATTAAAAAGTCAGGAAGCAACAGATGCTGGAGAGGATGTGGAGAAATAGGAACGCTTTTACACTGTTGGTGGGACTGTAAACTAGTTCAACCACTGTGGAAGACAGTGTGGCAATTCCTCAAGGATCTAGAACTAGAATTACCATTTGACCCAGCCATCCCATTACTGGGCATATACCTGAAGGATTATAAGTCATTCTACAATAAAAACACATGCACACATATGTTTATTGTGGCACTGTTCACAATAGCAAAGACTTGGAACCAACCCAAATGCTCATCAATGATAGACTGGATTAAGAAAATGTGGAACTTAAACACCGTGGAATACTATGCAGCCATAAAAAAGGATGAGTTCATGCCCTTTGCAGGGACATGGATGAAGCTGGAAACCATCATTCTCAGCAAACTATCACAAGAGCAGAAAACCAAACACCACATGTTCTCACCCATAAGCGGGA